CTTCTCCTTCATATCTAAATTCCAACACAATATCTACTTCTTCTTCTTCTTCATCATCTTTTTCTTCTTTTTCCTTCACCCAGCATGACCTTGTTCATGAAACCATCCAATTCTTGCCCATTGAGGCCTCAAAAGATGAAGACCACCATCAAAGTTTTGAGGTGAAAGAGGAAAAGCTTGAACAAGTCACTGTGGCTTTGCACATTGGTTTGCCTGACAGTGCTAAAAGGCATCATGAGGTTGTAGATGATGATGATGAGAAGATGATTTTCCATGTCAAGGAAGAAGAAGCTTCCTCCAAGAGAAGCTTCCATGGCTGCTCCTTTAATCAAGAGAGAAGGTTCTGGATTCCAACTCCAGCTCAGATCCTCGTTGGACCGATGCAGTTTGCTTGCTCCATATGCAGCAAAACCTTCAATAGGTATAACAACATGCAGGTTAGTTAAATTGCTTCTCAACTTCTCACATATCTTAATTTTGAAACTTGATTTGCCAAGAAAAGTAGAAAAATATTGTTGAAGAAAGTTGCAACTGTGAATTAATTAGAGACAAAAGATCATAATGATGTCTGAGTAAAGTTAACAGATGTTTGTGAAGAAGACAAATGAAGAAACTTCTATAAAGATGAAGTATGAACAGTACAAGTTGAAAGTTTGATCCATTTTAATTTTTTCATATCTGTGGAGAATTTCTTTGTAGCAGAAGTTAGGAGCTGATCGTGTTGATAAGATCACCACCACTATGAGGGAATATAGTTGTTGCACATGCCTGATCTACCTTTGAAACATGATCACAATAATTAATTACGATTTGTTTCAATTAAAACTAAACATACTGATTAACTTATGTGATTCCTCTAATGAGATTTCAAGATTTATTGGGTGGAGAAATGCAAGCTTATCAGTACTATCATGTACTCACTCAAAGACTTTGCACCCCACTTGCGACAAACTTTGTTTCAGATTTTATCATCACCCCAAAAATTGCCTCCAGTTTTATTTCAGAAAAAAAGCACAATACAATTAATTATTACGTCCTTTGCTACTAAAAGACAAAATTTTATTATGTGTAGCATTTCAATGGTGAGTTTAGCTACCTAGCTAGGTATATTCAGAAAAAAGAAGTTATGATGAAGGAGTTCTTTCTGTTCTATAAATAATTGCTGCAACTATGATCATGTTATCATACTTAAAATACAACGATCACTTTCAGAAGAAATTTCTTGTAACATACATGCATTTCATCGAAACCAAACTCATGAGCAGAGTCAATGATTGTTTTGTTTTCCACAACTACTCTTTAACTTTGTACAGCATTGAGTAGTTTTCCATGGCTTGTGTGCATATATACCTACTGAATTTGAATTCGCTGCATTTTATCCATACCAAACTGAAGTAGATGCTTTACATGATAATGACAATGATGATAATCATTAAAGAGAGATTAAATAGTCACATAATTTAACTTTAATTAGCATGCTTTAAGAAAAAAATGCACTAGGTGGCGCGTACGTGATGTCCCTCAAGCCTTTCCCCGTCACTTTTAAATTAAAAGCTTCTTTTTCATCAATTCATCTCAAAGGGGAATATTGTAATTATCTTCATATGCATGCATGCTTTTACTTCCTTTCCAATGCATAATCTTCATCCATATATAAGCCAAGGTTGAGAAAGAAATTAACTACTTAAACCTTTGAATTTTTAGTTTTAATTACATTGTGTATGTGTGTGTCTATATATATATGTAGAATTTCTGATTTCAAATAGATAGATACAAAAAAATGTTAGACCCATCACTTAAGATTAATGATTATTTGCAGCAATGGCCACAGTTAGGCCAAAAAAAGGACTAAAGGACTATACTTGGTCAAATATAGTAGGCTTCATTATTTTTTGAAACAAGAAATATAAATGTAACTTTTGAACGGTAAAGATTGAACTAGAGAAATAAAAAGAAACTAAAGAAAATAAAAAGTTTTCCAAGAAAGTTTAACTAAGATCAATTAATTAATGAGCATGAATGTGTATGTACTCTAATTATGTGAATTTAACTCAACTGGACTTAATTTTTGTTGATTTGCAGATGCATATGTGGGGTAATGGATCAGAATTTAGGAAAGGACCAGATTCACTGAAAGGAACACAACCAGCAGCAATGTTAAGGTTGCCATGTTACTGCTGCGCGCAGGGTTGCAAGAACAACATCAACCATCCAAGGGCGAAGCCTTTGAAGGACTTCAGAACCCTCCAAACGCACTACAAAAGGAAGCACGGCACAAAGCCTTTTATGTGCAGAAAATGTGGGAAAACATTTGCAGTGAAAGGTGATTGGAGGACTCACGAGAAGAACTGTGGCAAGTTATGGTACTGCACTTGTGGCTCAGATTTCAAGCACAAAAGATCACTTAAGGATCATATTAGGTCCTTTGGAAAGGGACACAACCCTCATCCTCCCTTTGAAGCTTTTGAGGATGAGAAGGAATGCATCACTGGCTCTGATGAAGATGAGCTCAATGCTCATCATCATGCATGATCTGATTAACATTCTACAGCTTTTCCTCATTACCAAACAAAAAAGTTGCAGACAAATGTGGTGGATGCAGCTATGGTTTTAGAACCTTGAGTAGTGGTAATTATAGTAGAGAGAGCTTGGTCAGTACCCTTGTGCTCAGTAACAAAAAATTCTCAACAATGCTGAGACATGAAGGCTCAGGGAAAGGTTTGCTACCGAGCACTTGCAGGGTGGTGATGAGCTATCAGTAGAGGTTTGAACTGAATTTGCATGCTTTTGGTTAGCTAATAAGATGGTGCCTCAAGTGATGAAGTAGATGAATTTTCTTGGCATAGTCACAGAGACAAAGTGTTATGTCATGTTTACTTTTCTGTAAAATATGGAGGAAATTTATCCGCTTCATTACTCAATGGTAACCCTCATTCTAGGACTTTATAATACCATGTAAAGTCTTGTTTAAATATTTCTTATGAATTTGCTGTTATATTTCGATAACCACTGTGTTGCATAATTTTCTTAGTCTTCTGTATGATGTTTTACTGCAGTTTCAACCTTAAACAATGCTAAATGTGAAGCCAGATTAAGACATCTCAGTACAACTTTGAAAATTGATTTTGATCGAGTTGTATATCCTATTATTAATCCAGAAATGACAGATACACACAGATATAAAATGACTAAATGAAAATTTAGTAATTACAAGAATGAAAATGATATCAAGAACATACCTTTTCGATTAAATGAAAGTTCATACAATTTTACATCATTTTTATTACGAGTCTAACAATATCTAAATATTTAGTTTTATTACTTATCATTATGCCCTGTTTAAAATTACTATAATTTTTTTATTTATGTATATAAATATTTTGTTTCTGATAATTATGCAATGCAGATGTAAAGATGTATGTGAAACATGATATGATGTGATGAACCCAACCATTTTCAGAAAAGAAAACATTCAATTATTATACAGAAGGTAACATTGTCCTAATCCATAAAGGTTTTGGACAATGTTTGCACCTTTCTTAGGAGTCTAATTATTAACTGCCCTTCATTTAAGGAACACTAGAAAGTGCTTATNCTTTTAAATTAAAAGCTTCTTTTTCATCAATTCATCTCAAAGGGGAATATTGTAATTATCTTCATATGCATGCATGGTTTTACTTCCTTTCCAATGCATAATCTTCATCCATATATAAGCCAAGGTTGAGAAAGAAATTAACTACTTAAACCTTTGAATTTTTAGTTTTAATTACATTGTGTATGTGTGTGTCTATATATATATGTAGAATTTCTGATTTCAAATAGATAGATACAAAAAAATGTTAGACCCATCACTTAAGATTAATGATTATTTGCAGCAATGGCCACAGTTAGGCCAAAAAAAGGACTAAAGGACTATACTTGGTCAAATATAGTAGGCTTCATTATTTTTTGAAACAAGAAATATAAATGTAACTTTTGAACGGTAAAGATTGAACTAGAGAAATAAAAAGAAACTAAAGAAAATAAAAAGTTTTCCAAGAAAGTTTAACTAAGATCAATTAATTAATGAGCATGAATGTGTATGTACTCTAATTATGTGAATTTAACTCAACTGGACTTAATTTTTGTTGATTTGCAGATGCATATGTGGGGTAATGGATCAGAATTTAGGAAAGGACCAGATTCACTGAAAGGAACACAACCAGCAGCAATGTTAAGGTTGCCATGTTACTGCTGCGCGCAGGGTTGCAAGAACAACATCAACCATCCAAGGGCGAAGCCTTTGAAGGACTTCAGAACCCTCCAAACGCACTACAAAAGGAAGCACGGCACAAAGCCTTTTATGTGCAGAAAATGTGGGAAAACATTTGCAGTGAAAGGTGATTGGAGGACTCACGAGAAGAACTGTGGCAAGTTATGGTACTGCACTTGTGGCTCAGATTTCAAGCACAAAAGATCACTTAAGGATCATATTAGGTCCTTTGGAAAGGGACACAACCCTCATCCTCCCTTTGAAGCTTTTGAGGATGAGAAGGAATGCATCACTGGCTCTGATGAAGATGAGCTCAATGCTCATCATCATGCATGATCTGATTAACATTCTACAGCTTTTCCTCATTACCAAACAAAAAAGTTGCAGACAAATGTGGTGGATGCAGCTATGGTTTTAGAACCTTGAGTAGTGGTAATTATAGTAGAGAGAGCTTGGTCAGTACCCTTGTGCTCAGTAACAAAAAATTCTCAACAATGCTGAGACATGAAGGCTCAGGGAAAGGTTTGCTACCGAGCACTTGCAGGGTGGTGATGAGCTATCAGTAGAGGTTTGAACTGAATTTGCATGCTTTTGGTTAGCTAATAAGATGGTGCCTCAAGTGATGAAGTAGATGAATTTTCTTGGCATAGTCACAGAGACAAAGTGTTATGTCATGTTTACTTTTCTGTAAAATATGGAGGAAATTTATCCGCTTCATTACTCAATGGTAACCCTCATTCTAGGACTTTATAATACCATGTAAAGTCTTGTTTAAATATTTCTTATGAATTTGCTGTTATATTTCGATAACCACTGTGTTGCATAATTTTCTTAGTCTTCTGTATGATGTTTTACTGCAGTTTCAACCTTAAACAATGCTAAATGTGAAGCCAGATTAAGACATCTCAGTACAACTTTGAAAATTGATTTTGATCGAGTTGTATATCCTATTATTAATCCAGAAATGACAGATACACACAGATATAAAATGACTAAATGAAAATTTAGTAATTACAAGAATGAAAATGATATCAAGAACATACCTTTTCGATTAAATGAAAGTTCATACAATTTTACATCATTTTTATTACGAGTCTAACAATATCTAAATATTTAGTTTTATTACTTATCATTATGCCCTGTTTAAAATTACTATAATTTTTTTATTTATGTATATAAATATTTTGTTTCTGATAATTATGCAATGCAGATGTAAAGATGTATGTGAAACATGATATGATGTGATGAACCCAACCATTTTCAGAAAAGAAAACATTCAATTATTATACAGAAGGTAACATTGTCCTAATCCATAAAGGTTTTGGACAATGTTTGCACCTTTCTTAGGAGTCTAATTATTAACTGCCCTTCATTTAAGGAACACTAGAAAGTGCTTATCTATAATGCATGATCCTTTTTCCCCTTAACATTCCCCTTTACCCTAAATAACTTACGACAATGGAAAAAATAATCACAAAATACTCATGAATTTTAGAGTGGTGACCATTTTGGAGCGATGGTGAAAGCTGATGAAGGTTATTACAAGAACCGATTCACAATTTTAGAGAAGTTCAAAATTATTAACACTAATTTAAATAAAATAGAAAGTAATAAATTACCAAAAAATATTAAAAAAATCATATTAAATAAAATATTGAGAATTTTTTATTAAATCCTTTTTATTCAAAGTAATATAAACTTTTATTCTAGAGTCCATTTTGGGGGCATGATGACTACCAAATCATCCACCCCCACACGTAGATAGAGATCAATTCTATAATTTTAAAAAAAATAGAACTAAATATATAATAAATTGGTTTGATTCTTGGTGTGATTGTTGATTAATTTATTATTATTTGGTGAAAAAAATTCCAAAATGGTGATGATCATGCATATGTGTATTTGACAAAGGGATGATGGGTTTGAAGGATCCCCTTTTGTTTTAAAGAGAAAAATAAAAAATTTCTAAACACGTGAGGGAGATAATTAACGGGAGAGAAATAGAGTTTAAAATAGAGGGTTTTTGAGGTAGGCTTGACCAAAGCAAAAAGTAGGACCTTAAAAAAAATGGAGTGTGTGTATTTGGTCTTGAAAATAAGGGACCTCCACTAAGTTTTGTCGGGGTAAGAAAACGTTGGAGAAGGGAAAGATCACAATCACAATAATCTTAAAGAGAAATAAATATTTTCAATATATATTATTTAATTTTTTTAATATGGTTTGATATTTAAAAGTTACATTTTCCCTTTAAGTGACTTATGGTAGTTAGGTTAAGTTAATGTTGAATATGGTGATCTTTGGCAATATCTTGCGCAATCAAAGTATCTCCCTCATCCAATGTCCTTTCATCTATCAATATCAAAAGTAGGTTTACAGTTTCATCCATCTTATAATACTTTTTCACTTAATATACCTACGAGGAAATTGTTTTCTTTGTTAATTACTTTGTCGTATGTAACTTGTTCACAATGTTTCTTTTTTCTCAAATAATGTCTACATGATTTAGCCAGCTGGACATTTCATTAATTTTTTTTCTTATTTTTATAAAATAAGATATTTCAATCTTTATCTATTCTATTAACAAAAGGGATTTTTGTTTTATATATACAATTTTTTTTAGAGGTTAAGTATGTTTTTAGTCCTTAAACTATCAAGTGATTTTGTTTTTAGCCTCTCTTTCAAATTAAGGTACTTTTTGGTCCTTCTTTTTAAGAAAATCATAATTTTTCGTTCTCAAAAACCAACTGCATTAAAAAGAAGCTGAGCTCGCTAACGATGGAGTGCCACATCATTTTTTAGTGTTAGAAAAAAAGGTGACGTGACACTCCATTGTTAGTCAGGTCAATTTCTTTTTAACGCCGTTGGTTTTTTAGAACGAAAAATTATGTTTTCCTAAAGGAGAATGACCAAAAAGTACCTTAGTTTGAAAGAGAAACTAAAAACAAAGTCAGCTTGATAGTTTAGGAACTACAAACATATTTAACCATTTTTTAAATTTTAGCTTTTAAATAATCATTATTATAAATATAGTATTAATACAATTATCTAAAAATATTTATCATAATAATATATATATATATATATATGGACACAACCCGTAGTCCAACTCACCCGAGCGGTGATTAAAAGTTTCTAAGATGAATGTGTCTTGATCGTAAACAAAACCCAGGGCTTAATGTGAAAAACACCTGGTCCAAACCGCGCGGTGATAAAATCTAACAACCGTCACTCTAGTAAACAAACTCAGGGCGTTATTGAAAAACCTGTCCAACGAGCGGTGATTAAAGTTCTACGCATTGTCACTCTCGTAAACAAAACCCACCGGGGCGTTATTTGAAAAAACATCTGGTCCAAACCGAGTGGTGATAAAAATTCTAAACAAAATGTCACTCTCGTAAACAACAAACCCAGGGGCGTTATATGAAAAACACTGGTCCAACCGGACGGTGATAAAAAGTTCTAAACGAACTGTTCACCTCGTAAACAAACCCAGGGATGTCATGTGGAAAAACACCTGTCAAACCGAGCGGGGGGAACGTTCTAAATGAACACTCACTCTCGTCGAAGCCGAACGGTAAAGCTCGTTCCCTAGGAAGAACTCCTAGGTCAAAGTCAAAGTAAAGAGGTAAAGCCCTCTCGCTAGGAAGTTCTCCAGGAACTCCTAGTGCAAAGTCGAACGGTAAAGCTCATTCTCTAGGAAGAACTCCTACGTCAAAGTCGAACGGTCATTCACACCACAATCACCCAGCAACCTTGGATGGTAGAAACGAGTGGGACGATCATTATTGACCATTCGCAGTCAAACGGTCTTGATTACATGGTATAACCATCTAGTTTCTTTTGCTTCAAATTCAATTAGTTTTCCTCCTTGGTACAGGTAAACAGCAAATACAGTCTCCCTCAAACTTATAAGTCCTATAGTTAATCAAGGCTAAAGTCGACCGATTACACTCGGACTTGGGGGGCATGATGTACCGTATGAAATATGGACTGAGCGGTTATTGAATAAGGCCGATCGGTCTATCCGCCATTGGTCAAATGGTTTGGGCCGTAATTGGGCCTACAACGCTAATAAGCTACTTCAAATGGTAATGGGTTGGGCCAACGCTTAAGTGGTTACTACTTTTAATTACTCTGTGCAATAGTCTAGTGGATGATAAAATATTAAAGATATCTGTAAAGATATTTGATAAACCAAATACAAAATATTTGGTTGAAGATATTGATAAAGCCGTTTATGGGTAACTAACCGGATCTCTAGGTAAGGTTATTTTTATTTGATCTATGAAACACTTCTAAATACATTGACAGGGCCAAAGGCCAGGTATGTTCCACCTACGCATTATTCACTCTCCACTACTCTCAAATACTCAAACAGTGATAATCATTCACTAAATATTCAACTAAGGGCCGAGACTCTTCAACAACACGCCTAACTTGAGCGTCAGAGTGCCTTTTGCAGGTACATCCCCCCTCGTTAAGAAGGAGACCGATCGGTCAACAACAGGAGATTGAAGGTGACCGACCGATCCACACTCCACACTAAAGACCGAGCGGTCCACACTAAAGATTGAGCAGTCCATACTGAAGAAAGGCAGGCGATCCAAGCATTCGGAAGTAAGGAAGACACGTCAGAACAAGTTAGTTTCTCGGTCCCATAAAATCCTACCGAAACACAAAATATCTTTTTGAGTGTCTAGTGGTTACATTTAGTTCTTGATATATATATATATAAGATATATTTATATATATATATATATATATATATATATACTAATATTATCATTAG